CTGACGCGTCTGCCTCCGCGACCCGAAAGGAGAAGCGGCGATGGAAGATGAAGATGAAGATGAAGATATAAAGTATTTTATTCAACGAACGCGGTTGAAGCATAAGTATGAGTGCGAAAAAGTGACATTGTATCCGAAGTGCAACCGTCAGTGATTTCATCAATTGCATACTCCTGAAAACATCCTACTGTTTTCACAGAGAAAATATTTGTCAATCAATGGGAATAAATGCTGAGATGCTGGTTGATGAACAAAAAATTGCCAGACCCACAAGAAACCGATCTGAAATATCATTTGGTTAATGCATTGTGAATAAATCGAGCTGCTGCTATAGAAGAAGCGTTCAAATACGATAACTGTAGGCAAGCGTTTGCTTCAGTCCAGCAGTACAGCGGTAGGAATTACACCAGACCGTCTTTTGTTAGTTTAAAAGATGGATCGCCCATATAAGTGGAATACAGATATGCGGAGCAAATTCAAGAACATTTCTTGCAGCTGATACACCGGTACTTTCGCTCCTCCGTCTCAATTTGTTCCCATCGATTTCCTTCCAGCATTGTAGAACGTCTGTTTATGACTGCTATGTTGATGTATCGCGAAGTGATCAGGAAAACTATCTGGAAAAAGGACCAAATGGCAAAACAGCTGGCCAAGATGAAGTGAAACATATTTTTAAGACTGGATTGCAGGTACTGTCGAACAGTATCCAGACCATTTGGCCAACAGAAACAATGGGAAGTATGGAGAGTGGCGCCAAACAGTGATTATTCCGATACATGAAAGTGGTGTTGTTTATGATGCGGGGAGTTACAGTGCTGTTAACCTCCTCAGTGAAGATAATGTAGGTCAGTGAAACAATCAGTCAGGGAAATTCCTTGCAGATAGAATACTACCAGGAAAGGACAAAGCAGTTCCCGACCAAGCGGATCGACAATTCACCACAACCTAATATTTGCCTTGTGCTTGAAACGTTGTTCATCAGGTTGGTCAGCCTTTAGTTCTTCACATCGTAGAGCATTGTACCAGCTGTGTCAGAAAAAGTTCTTAGCATCTTGAGAAATATCTAATGCACAACAGTGGCGGTTGGATTATGCTGACGATATCTCGAATCCGGAAGAACTTCAGAATGCGTTGACCTCAGTAAAAACATTTAGTTCAAGTACGGGCTGAGACTGACACTGTCGAAATGCAAAGTCCTTGTTTCACCGTATACTTCGGAAAATGTAAATACCATAAAAATTTACAGGAAAGATGTACAGTATGTCACCAGGTTCTTCTATTTTAAGTCGATGATTGTGAAGCAGATGTTCAAGGAGGAATGATCTGCGTATAATTCATGCTGCAATAAAATCTGAGGAAAACTGCTGTTAGTGTGTCACTGAAAGTCTGACAGATATATTTGACCAGTGCTTATGTATTCTGCAGCAACATAGACACTTATAAAAAATAAATTTACGTCTTAGACGTATCTAAATGCTCTTGTTGCTGAAAAATATCGGCTGCGGCATGATGAGATCGCTGATGCTCAGTTGCCTAAAGTCGTGAGAACAAGCAAAAGTGGAGTATGTCAGTTAGTTAATAATATAAACTTTGCCTTGGAGAAATTGAAAAACTGAATCCCTGTCTATTTGACCACGCACTACGACGGAACAACAAACGACTTATTAACATCATGATTTAGCAGTATGTATTGCACCGAAGCCTTAGTGGGAAAGGTTTCGGGAGGGGGAGGCGGTGGAAAACTTTATGGTTGAATATTGTCAGAGAGGAACTGATTACGATGGACATGGACCATACTTATCGCACTTAACCTGCAAATCAAGCCTGGCACAGGGATTTCCTTACATCACGTGCGACATTGGATAGGACTGGATGCAATGACAAAAGGCATGGGGATGTCATAACTGCTTGCTACTTCCAGTAAGTTAACTAAGTCACACATCATACATCTGTACAGTTTTTGAATATTTGGTTCATTTGTTGGTGATCTTGCTGAAAGCAGCTTACTTATACATAAAAAAGACGGTCTGATAAATCAGATGATTCACTTCAGACAGTACCTATGATTAGC